ATCGCGTAATCGAATAAAGAGGATTCGTTTTACCCAATAAGAAAAGAATGACTATCGTAATGAATCTAAGTAATTATTCGTTTTGACCTTTTTTTTTACGTTTTCAAATTTTAAACGCTTCGGCAATGGGAATGGTTTGGGGGAAAAGGAAAGGCGGCATGAGTGTGGGATAGGTTCAGACCAATACGCCCAACATGGGTATATTTCGCTTGAAATATAGCTACGAGTGAATAAAAATAAAAAGAAAGGAGCCTCGCTGCTATTGTAAGAATGAAAACCCCTAGGAACACACCTCTGTCCATCCACTCCCTACAATACGCATCAGGAGGAACGAAGGGCAAAAATAAGCGATTGTACAGAACCCCATCTAAACAATAATAACGATAATGGAAATGGTAAAAAAAATAAGAATAATAAAAAAACGATACAAAATGGACTCTTCAATCAAGCCTTCATTAGCAGCTTCTTTGACTCGCTATCGCTCACCTACTTCTTTCGACGTGCTTTTCGTCAACATGTTTTCCCTATCGGCATCCCTTTCCCCAGATATTTCCTAAGCCGCAGTCGCAGCGAGTACGGTTTAATATAATATTGACGATAATCTCGAGCGAGCGGTCGGCCCCTTCGGATCCGAGGCGAAAAGGTTTATGATACACGTTAACACCGTTTTGGTATGCTCCACCCTCTCCGTTGCCAGGCGGCGTGTTAAACTTTTCAACAATTCCAACGAAGACGAGGACGAAGAAGGGCTGCTGCCGGATACCTTGCTCCACTTCACATCGTCCTTTAATTTCGTGAGAAGCGTTTCAACCACGTCATCGGGAAAGCCCTCCCCGACGGTTCGCGAATCCACGTGGTGGTCGATCACCGCCAAAAGCTCGCGCAAGTCCGCCGCGTTCGCCTCCCAAATCGCCTTTTCTTCCTGAGGTGGATTCGTTAAACGGCCTTCGGGGTCGTTGTTGTTGTGGGGTTCGCCTTCGACGCTTTCGCGTAAATCCGAACAGGAGGAGGAGCCCGGCGGGCTCGAGGCGTGGGTGGCGAGTGCAAGTCGAATCTCCCCTTTGACGAGATTCGCGTTGATCAACACGAGGATTCGGCGCATTTTCGCCTCGCCGAGGACGGGCTCGAACTCCTTCTGGATGGCCTGTTGGGCCCAGACGACGTTGGATTTGGCAATATCCCCCAGATCGGCGTAGCATCGCGCCAAAAACAGCCCCTCCAGGGCGGCGCTGAGGGCCATCGCGAGGAATGGGGCGGATTGGAAGTACCGCGCGTGGTGTTCGAGCTCGGAGAGCCGCCGGATGTCCATCCCGAGCTCGCGATGGAGCTCGAGCAATTCGCGGTGGGCCTTCTTTTTGGTTTGTTGGAGCGTCTTGCGAAGGCCATCGAGGAGCGGGGCGTCGTCCGGGAGGGCAATCCGGCCCGCCCCGACAAGCGCGGCGAAGTTTTGGTCGTTTAAAAAGGTCGTGGCGGCGCTGTCGAGGAGGTCGGCGCTGGCCGCGGCCGGGAAAGGCGGGGCCCGGCCGCCGGACGCCAAACTCGCCCGACTCCCCCGCGCGAGCAAATCCACATTCATCTCGCTTTGATAGTGCACGAGGAATTTGCCGAGGATGGCGTGAAGTCGGGCGGGGGCGATGGGGCCCACCACCTTGTCGATAATCGTCCCGTGCATGATAAAATACGACACCGGCAGCTTCGCGCGCTCGACGGAGAAGGCCGAGGCGAGATTGCGATTCTCATCCGCGTTGATGGTGCACAATTTCAGCCATTCGGACGGGGGTTTCGTCGAAGGGGCGGAAAGGGGGTCGTGGGGGTTGGAAGGCTCGGGTTTTTCGTCCTTGGTGGAGGTCTCGGCGTTGAGCGCGGCTACCAACTCCTCCGCATGGCGAAGAAAGGTCGAGCAGCTCGTATTGCGGATGTAGTACACCAAACAAATCGCCTGCTCGGATTGCAGGACTTGCGTGTCGAAGTTCGCCGCGCTGGTCTCGTACTGGAGGAAACGCGCGGCGTGCGAAAGGGGAAACCCCTGCAAACAGGAGGAAGCCCGCGGCCAGGCAAACCCCCCCACGGGGGGGTGCTGAAGTTGAGAAAAAAAGACCGTGCGAATCGCGCGAAGGCTGCCAATCTTCGACTTTCGGGCCACCCCGTTCGCGATCCGACGCGATGGGGCGGGATGGGGTGAGGAAAGGGCCGGAATAGCGCCGCGCAAGAACATCGTGCGAGCTTCTCCTTTATTGCGCAATGGACGAAAGACAAATGGTTAACCTCTCGTCTGAATCTGAAGTCGCTCTTTTAATAGTTTGGATCGCACTTGACCGCCACAGCGCCCCCTATACAACTTTACCTTTTCCCTTTTAGATGATTGCAGAACGTTTAATGAAGGACAGATAATATGAAACATGTTGAATACCTTCTAAGAGGTGGATTGAACCCATTATGAGGGTTTCACTTTTCCCCCTTTTTAGACCTCCCCACACGTACCGGTGGGGAAAGTGGCGAAAAGGAATGAATGGTTTTGTTGTCAGTATTCAATTTAGTATAACAGCCATGAGACGTCTGATATAGAGATATATCATTTCGTGCGTAGACGAATTTGAGGGAAAACAGAAAAATTCAACACAATTTGAATTTGGTGTATCTAGTTATAGGTATTGCATGAGAGCAGATATAAACTTTTATCGACTACAGTGAAAACCTAAGTAATAGAACAGTGAGTTTGGTGATGGATAAGGAGCTCCGAAGGATTGGCCCGCTTATACTATCATAAATTCAACAGCAACCAAAATGTCAAACAATAACTGAACCCTTAACCGTTATTTTCTATTTTTCTTTTACAAAAATCTATGCACACATATAAAAGAAAGATAAAAGTGCAGATTCTATATTAACAAACACACTTTTCTCTTTCCTTTCCTATGGATGCTTTCTATTCTTTTTTTTTCTTTCATTTAAGTTCACAGCTTCAACCATCTTTTTAATTTTGGACTTTTCTTTTTATATATTTTTTGATAAAATCTATAACCAGTCCTTCTGATCCCCGCTACCGCGAACCACTTTTGCGATCGGAAAGCGCGGGACGTCTTGGGAGGAGAGTTCTTGGTACTGCACGGTGAGATATTTCCCGATAAACTCCTTTTGCTGCTTCCACAGCGCGAGGCGATTCTTAATGGAGACCTTCGGCGGCGCGTTAAATCGATACCCGTTCTTCGTCTCGCACACAAAAGCCCCGAGCCCCCCCTTAAACTTCCCCTCCCCGGGCAAAAACCCGACGATTTTGAACTCCGCGTCGTGCATTTGTTTGTACTTGAGCAGGCCGAAGCTGCGTTTGCCGTGCTCGTAGGGGAATTCGGGGCGGCGAATCATGACGCCCTCGAAGCCCTGCGAGCAGGCCTCGCGGAGGACGTCGTTCATCTCCCCGGGCAGCACCTGGGCGGCCGGGACGTGGTAGACCTTGACCTTCTCCCCGGTGAGGGTCTTCGTGATGCGGTTCTCCGCCTCCGGGAGGGTCCCGCGGATCATCTTTTTTCGCTTCTCGTCGTGTTGGTAGTTGCTGATGCGCTTCGCCCCGCAGATCGGGATGATTTGCTTGAGCAGGGCGTAGCGCTCGCTGAACGGGGCCTCGGCGGGGAGGTGTTTGCTGTACATGATGTCGAAGGCGAAGTACTCCAGTAGCCGGCTCTGCGCGGCGCGGATCGCGGGCGAGGTCGTCTTCGACAGCCGCCGGACAAGGCCGTTGAGCTGCTCGAAATTGCACTCCGGGGCGAAGATCTCGCCGTCGAGCATCAGCGTCGGGTCGGCCTCGAAAAGCGGGGTCATCTGCTGGACGAAGCCGTGGCAGCACTCCAGCAGGATCCCCCCGCGGGAGAAGAACTGGACCGCCTTCTGCCGCTTATTATACCCGACCAGGCAGCGAATGCCGTCGATCTTGGGCGAGGCGAGCAGGGGCTTGGCCTCGGCGTCCGGGCGCCGCGCCAGAAGCTGCCCCTCCACCAGCTCCCAGCGCTGGGCGAGCATGGGCTGGATGTTCCGCTCCTCCCACTCGGGGTT